CAGCAGGAGCTACAGCACTGCAGAAAAACCTAACAAAAACACTGACATCCTATGAAAGGTGATAAATAAGGCTATGGTATCACCAGTCCTTTCTTGTTTCCAAGGAGAGCCACTGCAATGTACTGTAATATGGCACAATTTGCGAAACTGCAAATATTCTCTTTGACTTGAGCAAAGAAAAGTGAGACAAAAACCTCAGAGTAATAGTTGTGGATGAGGGAGTGCTGAGATTTAAAAAATGAATGTTTAACACTGTGAGTGTAGTTCAGGGGTCCAAAGGGAATAGGGGGTCAGTACAACTGGGGGTTTGGTGATACAGTTGTCATTTGGAGATGCTCCTTTACTAGGATACAGAGGTTGGGAATTGGGAGATGGTCTCTCAGTTCAGCTAGTTAGTCAGAGGCAAACACAGAGGTCTGAAGAGGTCATCTACTGCTTCATAGTACAACTTGTCTAGTTCTTCTCATTCATTGTGGCTGCTTACAGATGTTAAAAAAAGGAACAAAAAACTGGCATTTTATTTTAAACTTGGTGCACTCCCACATCAAGCCCAGCACATGGCCAGAAGAGGCAGTGCATTAGTTGGACCCAGCTCGTCCAACGTCTGTATACACTGTGCACTTTAGTGGGGCTTTTTTGGCACCTTTATCTAATAACTGATTGAATCAGCTTTAGATAAAGGAGTCAAAAAGCCCTGCTGAAGCACCCAGTCTATACAGACACTGAGGAGCTGGGTCGAAGTAACGTGCTGCTTCTTTTGGTAAAGCACATTTTTTTAAACGTCTGTGAACAGCCTGTATGCCTATGATTATTAAACCTGGTGATCACTACAGAGTCTATCCCAGACTGCTGCTGGCCTCAGTTTCCCCATCTGTCTAATCTGACTGAGGGCACCAGGACATATTGGAGAAGTGCTTTGAGACAACTAAGAGAAAACCACTTGTGAGTGCTAAGCATTAACTAGTGCACCTAAGTTTGATAAACTTTTAAAAAACAGCAGTTTCTCTTTTTTTTTTCCTCAGCATCTGCCTGGTCCATAGGGTAGTACTGCCAAGTTTCTGTCAATTAAAAAAACTAATTGAGGCTCACATGCAGCCACTGATGCCAGGTGTGCCTCTGCCAAGGTATAGCCAGGAAATGCATTCCTTAGTAGTCAAGTTCCTGTCAAGGCAAACGTCCCCCTACCGCTTGGCAGAAGTCTCTTTTCTCTCAACCTACCAAGGAGTGGATCCAGAGGGGATGCAGTTGCATGGTCATACCTTAATTTCAAACCAGGCAGAGGAAGCAGTGCTAAGGACTTTTTAAAGTCCCCAAGTAAGAATTCCCCCTCCTCCAAGACACTCTTCCTTCCGCTCCATGCTGAGTGGCACCTCCCTCCTCTCCTCTGCTCACCCACTGCTGCCACTGTCTCCCACTGCCCC